AACTCAAGAGAGGCTACTGTCAGATCCCTCAGACGCTTCAGGAGGCGGTTTCAGACTCAAGACAGACTGCTATCAGATCCCTCAGGTGCTTCAGGAGGAGCTTTGAGACTCAAGAGATGCTACTGTCAGATCCCTCATACACTTCAGCAGGAGGTTTGAGACTCAAGACAGACTGCTGTCAGATCCCTCAGAAGCTTCAGGAAAGATTTTAGATAGAGGTCTGCGTGGGACTGTTCTTTCAGTCCCGCTCCCACCTGCTCCCGCGAGATTTCAACCCAGTCCCGCAGAAAATCTGAATCGTTTCTCCCGCTCCCGCCAGCTCAGTCCCACATATATCCAATATCTAAGTCTAATCACAAATACATTATTCTCTGCTGAAGTAACACGACAGGCATGGTCATCAGGCTCACTGTGAGAAACTAAACGCCATTTTTCTCCCAATAAACACAGAGCAGTAATTAAACTACGGAGCGGTTATTTTTGGTGTTTTGCTTGGCAGCTGTGGCTGTCGGACTGAAGGCTCCACCATCTCTGTAACGCCTGATTCATACATGCTGCCTCTGCATGGCGTAAGTGAAACGGTAGCACGAGCACTACAGCTCGAACACGATGGCCTTTCATACATACAGTGTTTGCGCTGCGGAGAAGCAAGACAGTCATACAGACATTCCTGTTTCCAGACGGATAAATGGTCACTTCAGTCACTCTGATCAATAGAAATATCATTTATAAATGTACACTGTATATCTGTTTATCATGGACAGCATTCTGACTTCTGATTAGGTAAAGTTTCAAGCCTGTGGACCAACCAGGAAATCTGTCGGCACACAGAATGATTATTTCTTCATGAATTACATAAAAATCACCTTTCATCGTTTTTATCTGGTCTTTTGTTTATTTTTCATTTATTTTCATGGCTTATTCTAATTCTGAGATGGAAACTGATCAGGCTACAGCAAAGGTCTGTCTTTTTCACCATGAGTGCAATCATCACTTAAGCCAAGTGGAATTAAGTCTGTCAGTGAAGCTTCCACACACAATGTACCTGAATATAAGAACAAAATCACTTTTACACTTTAAAATCACTGATACAGAGTCAAAACTTTATTTTTAAATGCAGTTAACCAGTTAATAATGTTATTAGTTTCTGTTTTCATAATATTATGACTACATTAACTATGATCCCAGCATGCTCTGTAAGCTACATTACATGTATGGATTATCAGATGTGTTAGTATCAGTAACAGCTACAGTCAGCTATGATTCTGTTATGTTGCCTTTTTACTCACAGCTGTGTAGTATGTGTGTGTTTAATCATGCAGGCTGATTCCACAGCCAGAGCTAAGGGGAATAATTTAGAGCTAATGCTAACTGTTGCCTAGCTAAGGATTTTATTTACTCATAATGTGACCTTACACATGCTAACCGCTAACATCCTTATCATTAGACTCCTGTCATCTATCATTATCAATCAGTAATCAGCTGAGGTTAAGAAGAACCATCTTCTACAGTGTAGCTACATGAACAGTTTTACAGGAAGATAACATTGTGGAAGTGTCTGCAATTAGCCTAATCTTTGGCTAGCCTAAACATTAGCTAGCTACCTAAGCTCTTGCAGATAAATAATACTAATTCACAACAAAGATAAAATGATATTTTGGCTGAAAATTCTGTATTTTCTTTAACTACATGTAAGAAATAAACATTTCCTAAACAAATGCAGTTATGAATAATCTGTTATTTGGCCTAATATTTGCATATTATGTTAGCCTATATCACGAAAATGTTATTCATTTATCTTTATTTCATTCTAACTGACGACCAACTGGAGAAGTGGTGCAGATCACAGAGAGGAAGGAAAAGATATCCTTTCTGCTCAGAGTGTAATAATGTGCCCTGTCCAGATGAGTGTTTCAGAGGAAGCTCCTCTGCAGGTCCTGCGCCGAGATGGTTCTGAGGGGAACAGGCCGGGGAGGGCGGGGAGGGGGGAAGGGGGATGCCAGAGGAGGAGGAGAGAGGGACGGAGGAAGAGTGATGATGGAGGGAGTGTCTGAGAGAGAACCGTAATTCATTCCTCTCTCCGTCCATCCGTCCAGTCGTCCACAGCTACCACAAAGAGATGGAGACGACCCGCTCATATCCAGAGACACATCTGAGAAAAAGAGAGAGACAAATAAGTACAGAAAAAAGAGAGAGAGGGAGGTAACTACTGTTAAAGCACATTTACCGTTTACTCTTTCACCTAAAATGCAGTCAGAGCTGCTATTGCCTTCGTCCAAAATAACCTTTCCTGAAATCTGCGGATTTTGATCTGCTTAATTTCTTGCTCTCACCTCTTATTTCTTGTTTATGCAACACTGAGACAACCAAGGTAGGCAGTAGTCAAATGAAAACTGGCTGTAATGAAGCCAAATGAGCCACATGGTCGCATTAAAAATGAAAAATGAGGCTTTATTGTTGAGGGGTT